GCCGGTGCTGTGGCATAGTGGGAAAAGCCGCCGCCTGCAGTGCAGGCATCCCATATGGGCACCAGTTTGAGTCCTGGCTGTTCCTCTTCTGATCCAGCTCTCTGCTATGGCTGGGGAAAGCAGAATAAGACAGCCCAAGTGCTTGGAGCCTTGCACCCGCGTGGGAGACCCGGGAGAAGCTCCTGGATCCTTTGCATTGGCACAGCTCCGGCCATTGTGGCCAATTGGGGAATGAACCAGTGGATAGAAGACACCCCCCTCCCCGCCGCCTCTCCTGCTCTCTGTGTGTAATTCTTTCAAATAAATAAATAAATAATTTTTTTTTAAAAAAAAGCCTATTCCATTGTTCACATATTTCTGTTAACAGCACCGCCATCTCCTTTAGCCAGGCTTGGGTCTCTGAAGTAACAGCAAACTCTTCTGTTGCTAATTCATGAAGTCCTATTAATTCACCTTCCATGATAGTTTACAAGCCATCCCCCTTCTAAGTTTCCACTGACTAATCCTGTATCCAATCGCCATTACCTCTCATTGTATCACTCTAGTAGCCTCACAATTCGTTTGCTTGGCAACATTTAGAAATGTCCTATATGTAAATGTTAGAAATGACAAAATGTGTCTTAAACAAAAATCGCCTTTTAAAACTATGTAACGAGGCCAGCACTGAGGCACAGTGGGTAAAGCTATCGCCTGCAGTGCCAGCATATCATACGGGTGCCGGTTTGAGTTCCAGCTGCTCCACTTTTGATCCAGCTCTCTGCTATGGTTTGGGAAAGCAGTAGAAGATGGTTCAAGTCCTTGGGCTCCCACACCCACGTGGGAGACCCAGAAGAAGCTCCTGGATCCTGAGTTCAGATTGGCCCAGCTCCAGCCATTGCAGTCATTTAGGGTGTGAACCAGCAGATGGAAGATCTCTCTGGCTCTCTCTCTCTTTCTCTGGCTCTCTGTAAAGCTTTCAAATAAATAAATTAATTTTTAAAAATCTATGTAATACCATGTTACAATCCACTGGATTGCACTATCAGCTTTGCACTGAAGCTCTTCCCCAAGATGATTCCAATCTACATCTCCAAACTAACTTCCATTAAATTTCTTGACAATTAGAATGTTTTACTAATATGTGCCATACTGTATATAGCTATAACATAATGTACTATAGTTACGCAATATTAATACTGAAAAAAAAAACATGAAAAATTCAATTCTTGTCCACCAGAAGCTCAAAATCTAGTAAGGAAGACAGACATAAAGAAAGGAAACAGTCCACAAAATGCGAAGTCTTTCAGGGAAGGTAAGAACACAAAGGTGTACACACAGGCAATGTAAGACTAATTCTTCCAGAGGAGTGGAAGGGCTTCACTATCCTAAGGAGGAGACAGAGTCTGGGGAGAGCTTCCTAAAAGAAGAAAGGGATTAAAAAGACAAGGATGGGGGCCGACGCCGTGGCTCACTTGGTTAATCCTCCGCCTGTGGCACTGGCATCCCATATGGTCACCAGGTTCTAGTCCCGGTTGCTCCTCTTCCAGTCCAGCTCTCTGTTGTGGCCTGGAAGGGCAGTGGAGGATGACCCAAGTGCTTGGGCCCCTGTACCCGCACGGCTCCTGGCTTCGGATCAGCGTAGCACCGGCCGTGGAAGCCATTTGGGGAGTGAACCAACCGAAGGAAGACCTTTCTCTCTGTTTCTCTCTCACTGTCTATACTCTACTGTCAAATAAATAAATTAAAAAAAAAAAAAAAGACAAGGATGAAGAGGGAAAAAGAGAGATGGGAAATTATAGGATTCCTACTATTTCAAGTTTTTTTTTTTTTTTTCTCCAGGGAAGTGATTTTAAATCAGAGCTAATTCTGCCTCCCAGGAGAAATCTGTGACTGACTAAGGATATTGGATGGTCACGACTGGGAGGAGGATGTGCAAACAGCATTCTATGGGTGGAGGAAAAAGTGCTACTCAATACCCCACAATAGTTAGTGCCAACCTCCAACAACAAAGAACTACTCATTCCACAATGTCAACTATTCAACAGCTGAGCAACTATGTTCTAGATCCAAAGGAAAGGGAATAAAGGAGATGTTAGCATTAACAGAATTCCAGGATGTATTGGAATATTGACAACACAGAGAGAACAAGGAAGGCTCATGAATTAGGCCTGGATAACACTGCTCACTAAAACCAAAGGGAAGAATGCGAAACAGAGCACAAGGGAAAAGTTGTTACTAAATATTCCACACCTAAAGTCTCATGAAAGGGGATACATTTGTGTCTTCAAAGCAGGTGTCTCAAGACAATAAATTATGAGGGAATGGAGAAGACATGGGCAAAGAAGCTGAACCAAAGGACATCAGCACTTTCTGTGACCCATCACCCAATTTAACAATCACTGAACTTCTGCTACTTAGGTGTTGAGGGAAAGCAAAGAGATAAAAAAAGTCATAACCCTTATCCCTCAAAAACTGGATTTCAGTAGGAAGAATCAGGTAACCACATAAGTTATTACAATGTATGAGAAAATAAGATATACATCATAAGAGAATACACAGTTGTTCAAATATACAACCTTACAAAGATTCAAGGCAGTTGTAATGAAGGATAATTTTTACTTAATATTTTCTTGCTTGAGGGGGATAATCAAAGAAAAGTAAATTTTCCATCCTTGTTTATAAGTTTCTATGCCTACCATAATGAATCTAATTAGCAAAATAAAATAGCTACTTCCAAATTGTCCTGATTGCTAACACTATTCTAACAATGCACAAGCTGCATCACATAAAAATTAAAAAAAAAAAATTAAAAACCAGTATCCCAGTAGAGACTTAACTTTCCACTAAGAAACCTACAGAAGAAATTAGATCCAATATCTTCCAGAAGGTCCTATACCACTGAGAACCTCTTAATTATCCTTTCTGGCCTTTTTTTTTTTTTTTTTTTAAACTTTGGGTGGGTTTATTTCTCCTGAGGTTAGAAAGCCATCCAGAGGATGGCACTTTACACATTCCCCTCAGAAGGAGTCTCAAACTTCAACATGAGAAAATAGTTGGAGAAATCCCTAATGGTCTAACCAACATACATTTTTCATAAAGTGATTATCCTCCTGCAGCCTCAGCTTCCTAAGTCTTATTCCCCACTTCCATAATTGTTTTCTTTGCAGACCAGACAACAATTACCACTGCTATAAGACTGAGAAGGTTCACAAGCAATATATTTTACAATACATAAGTGTAGTGTCTCTGATATCTGGTGCTTTTATCACTAATTGCACTATAAAATGTGCTATTAAAACAAGGACAAACAAGATTGTAAAAATCAAATGGACCATGATCACTTACAAAAGCCATTTATAAATGTTACTGTACCATTTGTTTTTCTTGAGTTTTCCAATTTTGTAATTATTTTTAAAATTTTTCATTTTTAGAAGAATCATTAAGAAAAATAATTGGGAATTTTGTAACATACTTGCATGCTCTTGAATAAATCTTCATAAGTTTAGTCAAAATTAAAATTATATAGTATGTTAGACAATGTGTTATGAACATTGAATTTCTAGGGAAATCTACGTGGTTCTTGAAAGAAATTACAGATGTGGCAAATGCATTTAAACTATGGTTTCTTCTTAAACTTTGGAACGTGGGGGTAAAAGCATGGAAAAAAATGCAAAATGGTTTCACAATTCCAACTTATGAAATATACAATATAACACAGCCAATAAAACATTTATAACTTGGGAAAAGAAAGAATGATCACAGGGTGATATTGTCAAATACTGGAGGACGTGGACCACTGGAAGTACCTACTGTATTTCTGTGTCTTCAGCATTCACTAACTGATGACTAATTTTCAAGTTTGTAGATGAGCCTTTCGAGCCCTTTGCTATTTATTATCAAGTCTAATCATTAAAAAATAGAAGTCAGGAATAAAAGGAATGAAAATACAAGTATTTGTGCTATCCATTGATAATGGCAATACATATTTAGACAGAACTAGAAGTTTAAGTATTAATTCAGATGAATATTAATTCCTAAATTCTTTAAGTTTCCATTCATCCATTATCATAAACTAGTTTGAAAAAAATCACAGAGAACAAATACCACAAACTAAACACTGGGCAACTAAAGATAAGTGACCAATTAGTGAACTGAGAATGTTTCTTGTTTTTTAATAGGATAATCTTTTTTTCACTGAAGTTACTTATACCCTGATTGTAGGTGCCAGTTAAGAAAGGGTTATTGGGCCGGCGCTGTTGCGCAACGTGTTAATGCCCTGGCCTGAAGCACCCGCATCCCATATGAGCACTGGTTCAAGACCCAGCTGTTCCAGTTCCCACCTAGCTCTCTGTTATGGCCTGGGAAAGCAGAAGAAGATGGCCCAAGGCCTTGGGCTCCTGCACCTGCATGGTGCAGCTCCAGCCATTGTGGCCAACTGGGGAGTGAACCATCGGATGGAAGACCTCTCTCTCTCTCTCTCTCTCTCTGCCTCTCCTCTCTGTGTAACTCTGAATTTCAAATAAATAAATAAATAAAAAAGAAAGGGTTATTGACCTGGCGTCTCACAAAAAATAAAAGATTCCAGTAAGTGTGTAATTCTGCCATGTTTATTTGCATAAATTCTTATAATGACTTAACCTTACTAAATCAGAACCTAATTTTTAAACAAATTATATGTCACAATTGCAGATGTCTCAATTGTACCTATAATATTTTATTTTCCTCCTATGGATAGATAATGTTATCAGTGCTTGCTCTAACTTCAGAGCATGACATCACTTATTTCAGTATGAATAACTTCTAAATATTTGAATGGTAAGAAAAATTTAGTTGTTCAATATGTCAAATACATAAAATACTTAAAAATATTATTGGAGAAACCTAGACTAAAATGAGAAGCTTATTTTTAACAGTGCCATCTCTCAAAAAAAAAAAAAATTCAATAAGCCACAGGAAAGCTGTGTTAGCACATGAAGTTAAATGGGGCCTCCACCCTTCATGAGCCCACATCCAAAACATACCTTGTCAGATGCTTCAGAAGCCAAGAGGTTTGTTGCCAGGGTTTGAAGCTTATGATGGGCCATATTTTTGAGGGCAGCGAGACTACGTCTTGTCATAGCTTGTTTGAGGTTAATTGCTGGGTGACTGAGTGAATCCACGGCAGCAGGAACCACTTCATCACAAGCACTCAGTATCTCCACTGCTGTTATTCCCATCACACAACGATCCAATGCACCTGCAAGGCAAATGAACACACAAATATTACACAACACTGTAAACATTTAAATCATTTTGCTAAGTTTAAAAAAAAATGGTATGATAATTGTTCATGGGGTAAAATGCTTTATCCATGCCTCTCAGAAGCATCTTCTTGGACTTCTTCTCTCTGATGATCTTCTATGGATGTAGCACGATGTCAATCATTTCCGCTTTCTTGTGGACAGTAAAGTCAGGTTGAGAACCTTTTCCAACAAGCTCTTCCAGGCTTCTCGCCACTCTTCCTCCTTCCCAGATGACTTCCTTGACTGTTTTCATACTGTTACACTACGACAAATGCTAAATTCTATGAGCTGACTTTCCCGCAAGTTGTGAATCAATCGTAAACTAAACACCTTACTGAAATGTGTTCTTTATTCCTTTCTTGAATAATTCATAAAGCTTTTCTTTCTCTAGGAAACCTTCACAGAACAAAAAATATTACAACTTTCCCCTCTTGTTGGCAACTTTCTTGATTCTGACTCTCAACACTCAGTCAACTGTTTCCACTTGGGCTTGTGGAAAAAAAAAAAAAACTTCCTTCCTTCCTTCCTTCCTTCCTTCCTCCTTTCCTCCCTCCCTCCCCCCCCCTTTCTTTCTTTCTTGTAAAGATTTATTTATTTATTTGAAAGGCAGGGTTATAGACAAGCAGAGGCAGAGAGAGAGAGGGAGAGAGGCACAGAGTAGAGAAAGTCTTCCATCACTAGTTCACTCCCCAAATGGCAGCAATGGCTGGAGCTGAGCCAATCTGGAGCCAGGAACCAGGAGATTCTTCTGGGTCTCCCACATGGGTGCAGAGGGCTCAAGAACTTGGGCCATCTTCCACTGCTTTCCCAGGCCATAGCAGAGAGCTAGATCGGAAGTGTAGCAGCCAAGACATGAACCAGCACCCATATGGAATACTGGCACTGCAGGTGGCAGCTTTACCTGCTATGCCATAGCACTGGCCCCAGTAACTACTGTTTCTAACTGCTTCATTAGGCCATCTGCTTCAATCCTCTCCAGGCATGCATTCTTGTCTAACACAGAGCATATCTTCTTGGTACTAGATGATGCAGCTTCATCACTACTTTCAGACCTTGTCTCCAATATTATATTTTGCAGGAGCTGCTCCCTGGCCATATTAGCAAGTTCTCCCTTTTTGGTTTTATGCACTTCACAACACTAATCAACACCTAACATACTATTTACTTAAAGTTTTTATTTGTTGTTTTTCACCTGCCTCTCCCCACTCTGAATGTAGACAACAAAAGAGCTAGAATAATTATATGAAAAGATGTCAACCTTAGTGCCCTCAATTGTGCAACAGCAGCTCAAGCCACGCCTGCAACACCAACATCAGTACCAACACCGGCATCCCATATGAGCACAGGTGCAAGGCTCCACTTTTGACCCGGCTCCCTGCTAATGCACCTGGGAAGATAGCTCAAGTGCTTGGGCTCCTGCCACCCATAAGGGAGATACAGATGAAGCTGTTGACTCTTGACTTCAGCATGGCTCAGCCCTGTTGTGGCCATTTTGGGAGTGAACCAGTAGATGGAAGATTTGATAGCTCTCTCTCTGTAACTCTGCCTTTCAAATACATAAATAAATCCTTTTTTTTTAAGAAAAAAAAAAAGCTGCCAACCTCACTAATGAAGAAAGGCAAATTAAAACAACAAGTAAATACCATTTACCCTTTATCATTTCAAATATTCAGGATTCTTAAAGGAATAAGAAAACTGACATATCTTTAGTACAAATAAAAGTAATTCTTTTTTTATAAATTCTATTAAATTTAAAATTCTCATTTCCTTTCACACAGAAATCCCCATCCTAAGATTTATGCCAAATAATCATGTCATATACAAATATGTATGTGTGTTAGCTATTATTATCCTAATTGTAACAGAGAATGCTGGAAAAGAAAAAACCTAAGTATCTGTCATTAATGGACAGGTTCAATATAAACTATGACATATTAACTAAAAGGAATATTGTAAAGTCACAAAAACTATGAGAAATATGGAATAGAAGTCAAACATGTTGTTAATAATATATCAGAAAAATAGAAACAAGTTAGAGAACATTATGCATACTATATTGAGAGAAGGAATTCTACAAAACTCTCAGTGGGGGCCAGCACTGTGGCAAGGTAGGCTAGACTTTCGCCTGTGGCACTGGCATTCCATATGGGTGCCAGTTTGTGTCCTGGCTGCTCCTCTTCCAATCCAGCTCTCTGCTTATTGTCTGGGAAAGCAGCGGAAGATGGCCCAAATGCTTGGGACCCTGCACCCACATGGGAGACCCAGAAGAAGCTCCTGGCTTCGGAAAGGCTTAGCTCTGGCTGTTGAGGCCATTTGGGAAATGAACCAGCTGATGGAAGACCTTTCTCTTTGTCTCTCCCTCTCTCTGTAACTGTACCTCTCAAATAAATAAATAAAATCTTAAAAAAAAAAAACAACTCTCAGTTGATGGATACAAAATGGCTAGTGAGATATCTGCATGCTTGAATTACTCGGCAATTTTATATTATTCTACATGAAAGTCACAACAATTTTTTAAACAAATCCATATTGTATTTTGCTTTTAAAATGTGGAATAAGTAAGATTATTTTAAGTGAAGTAAAATTAATTCAACTTTAGGACAGTCTTTTGGATATCATAAAGTTTAGCAGGAATAAATTTAGAATTCACTATTTTAGCTCTTAATGCTATATGTGGTTTGCAGTTATAAGTAACTCTCCCTTCTTGTTATCTAAAATAAACAAATAAATTAAAATATACTACAGGCAAAGACCAACTGATTTTTTTCCTTTGTGCAAAACTTTACATTTCTTCTTCCCTTCCGAACGGACTCCAAAGTAATTAAAAAAGGCCAGCACATGTAGGTGTCCCTGTGGGGCTTGGGGCGTGGTGACAAGGACAGGGCTTGCAACAGCTCCCAGCAGGATGCTGAAGAAAGCAACTAAATAAGAGGGAGGTGGCAGTAACAGCTTTGCATAAGGGGTTGAACCCCAGAAATGTATATAAAGATACAGTGCTAGAGTCTGAGCAGGGAGAGGAGGGGTTCTCACAGGGAAGGTGCCCAACACAGATCTCAAGAGAGGGCCCAAGGGGTACAGGCATGAATGCAATCTGCAAATATGCTGACATCTAAGAGATATAAAAAAAGGTGTTCAAATGGTGAGGGAGAATGGTCTAGAGCCCAAAGGTAAGGAAAGCATGTATGCAGGGAGGTAACTCAGTACAGGACATCAGAGCCAAGCTGGATGAAAAGGCGTCCACGCCAGGAGGCCATGTCATGTACCAGTGCTAGAAAGCAAGACAGTGCAAAACAAACAAACAAAAGACAGGCCCCCACTCCACCAATCAAATCCAAAACACTAAAATAAACATTTAGGAGTAAAATTCACTGAACAAAGCAGCCATCTAATAGGACTCACTGATACAGAAAAATGAATAAATTAAAATGCTGATGAAGAACAGATATTTTACAGCTTCAAGTTATCCCCCCCCCCAAAAATACTTACTAATTGCAAAAGGAAAAAAGGATAACTTCCCAATGAAGAAGCCAGAAAAATACTATCTTATTTAACAGATATAAGAAAACAACAGGGATGAAACAAATTAAAATAATATATCATCATAGGACAAAATGAGGAAAATTTCTGTGACATTCTTGCTGAAGACATATATTCTGAAAACAACCATGAGAAAATAAAAGGCAAACTGAAAGTGGGAAGCGTATCAGAAAACAGTTCATCAGTAATACTAAAAAGTCTGAGTCCTTAATGTGAAGGAGGGAGTAAGGAACTATTTTAGATTGAAAAAGTTGTAAAACTAAGCTTCATGTACAATTCTGGTCTGGATCTCTTTACAATAAAAGATTTTGGGCAGCAATTAGAGAAATTTTAGAGGGGTCTTAAGACACCAGCCCCTGTGGCTGTTTGAGGAGTGATCCAGCAGCTGGAAAAACTGTCTCTGTCTCTCTCTGTGTCTCTGTAAGTCTTTCAAATAAAGAAAAATAAATCTTTAGAAAAAAGAAAAAAGAAGAAGTTACCACTTGTGTCACCATATTTGTGTACCAGTTTGAGTTCTAGGTGCTTGGCTTCCAATGCAGCTTCCTGCTAAGGTGCCTGGGAAAACCAGCAGAAGACGGCCCAAGTACTTGGGTTGCTGCCACCCATGTGGGAAAACAGGATGGAGTTCCTGGCTCTTGGCTTCAGCCTGGCGCAGACCTGGCTGTTGCAGCACTTTGGGAGAATGAACCAGCAGATCAAAGATCTCCCCCGCCCGCCCCCCCCCCCCACTCTATCACTCTGCCTTTAAAATAAATGGATCAGGGGCCAGCACTATGGCAATAGTGGGTTAAGCCACTGCCTGCATCCTATATGGGTGCCAGTTCAAGTCCCGGCTGCTCCACTTCTGATCCAGCTCTCTGCTGTGGCTCGGAAAAGCAGAAGATGGCCCAAATCCTTGGGCCTCTGTACCTGCGTAGAAGACCTGGAAGAAGCTCCTGGCTCCTGGCTTCAGATCAGCACAGCAACAGCCATTACAGCCAACCGGAGAGTGAACCATTGGATGAAAGATTCTCATTCTCATTCTCTCTCTCTCTCTTTCTCTTTCTCTCTCTCTCTCTGCCTTTGTTTCTCTCTGTGTGTAACTCTGAATTTCAAATAAATAAATAAATCTTTAAAAAATAAAACAAGTGGATGGATAGGTGGAAGGAAGGAGAAGCTGGGAGGAGGAGGAGGAATTGGAAGAGAAAGAGAAAAAAAGGAAAAGGAGAAGAAAGGAAGGAGGGAGAGAGGGAAAGAAAAGAAAGAAAAAGGAAAGGAAAGGGAAGAGAAAGGCAAGGAAAGGAAGGGAAAGGAGAAAGAAGAGTGGGAGAAGGAAGGAAGGGAGAGAGATGGAGAGAGGAAGGAAGAAAGAAATGAAAGAATGAAGGAAGGAAGGACAAATTTCTGCTTCCAGTCAAGATGGAGTAACAGGGACTGA